TTGTTTTTCTTTTTTTTTTTTTTTTCTCCTTTTAAAGCCTGGTGAGTGTCTTCAGGCAGCCAGAGCTCAGCAAATTTTCCCATGGCTTTAAGACATTTTGATTGTGTTTTGATTTGAATGTCCACTCCAATAAAGAGCACACTGTGCAAGAAGTGTTTATATCCGCAGAGAAAGAATCCTTAGAGTGCAGAAACACAAGGGTCAAGGCACAGCTGATTGCAGATGTTGGTGGATCATCTCCAGAATCTGCTGGAATATCAAAACAAATCCCCACTGATTAGATAAACAAGGTCTGCTCCGATATTGTTTACTTCACTTTGTACGTTTGCAGAGAGGCAGTTCTCCCTCCTCCTTTTTACATGCACAATAATCCAAATGACCAAATAGCCCATTGTTTGTTCTAACCTGTCGGCTCATCTCCTTGGGGAAGGAATGGCAGGGGAAGCACTCTTTACTGCTCGCTAGCACTCCTGATTGGACAGAGAGAGAAGAAGAGTGGGGGCAGTAAAACTACTTTGACACCCTCAAGGTCCAGCCAGCAATCTCCTCTCCACCCCGCCTATAAAACTCTTTGAATCCCCAGCTGAAACCCCTCTCCCCCTCTGCCTTGCATCCCTTTGCTGGACTCTCATTTACGGCTTTGCTTCAAACCAAGGACATTGTGTTTACTGCTTGTGGTATTCTTCAAATTATTTGTCGTTGCATAACCGTTCCTTTCCGAGTCCTCCACTTCTCTCTGCTGCTCGGATCAACTCGCTATCACTTTGACCTGATTCAGTGCAACCATCCTTTGAAGGCCTGCATCTGAGGCCTGGCTGTCAGTGACAACTTAAGACGTCCAGACACAATCTAATCTCTCTGACTTGGCTGCGCTAAAGTACTTTTTCGTGTTCTCAGGAGTGCGGCACATGTTGATGCTGGAGCACGTACAGCCACCTGTACTGGTGTGTTAATGTGCTCTAAACCTCTTGTGACTCCTCTCTTTCTTTCTCTTTTCCCACCACCACATAGCTGTCATACAGTCGTGAAGAGGCAGTAGGCCACTCAGATGCCATATTTTCTCTGTATTTGGGGCACAAGTTGTGATGCATCAATGTGTGCTCATACACTGATTCAGGCTTGTTGATGGGATCTTGAAATACTGTTTTTTTAATGTATAAGAAACTGTGACATAATGGTTCTTTCTAAATAACATTACTTCCAAAGAAATTGTTAATAGAGATACATTAAGGTCTTTTTCTTTTCTTTAAAATTATTGTTCACTAAACTTTATTCCAGCATAACAGCTCTATTTTTGAGTTACGTATGCTAATTTTAGTCCTTGTTTAGTTTAGCTTTTAGTTAAAGTTTTGCTGATTTTAGCTTCTGTTTTGTTTGGTTTAACTTGAACAATTCAATTATCAATTCATCCTTTAAAAATGTCAGCAGTTACTCAGCTGTCAGCATTCATGCTGCATTTTTGCAAAACAACGTGTAGTTTTATTAATTTAACATAGAATTATATCTGTTTTTATGTTAGCTCTTACATAAAATATAATGTCAGTCTATCTTGGATTATTATACAAATTTATATATTTTGAATTAACATTTTTTTTATTACTGACTTCTTTGTAACACATTTTAAAATTTAACAAAGATCCTACATTTTTAACAGCCGTGTCCAAAACAATGTGACTGTTCTTGCAGCAACTGAATGCAACGTGTGCTCCAGCTCCTGCAGACTATATTTAATCGAACTAAGCTTACCTTAAAAATTTATGCTTTCTTATATACATTTTTTTATTTATTAAAAATATATATACATGAGACAACCGAGCTACCGCTGGATGTCAACATTTACCAGCCCACAATGTGCTCTCTCTACCCACTCTCCCACTCTATGCAAAGTAGTATTGTGCTCAAAATATAGCTTGTTTTTATCAAATACAAAGAAACACAAACATAGCCTGTTTGTCTTTGAATGGACGTGTGATTTCATGCATATTTCCGGGTGTTTGATGCAGGATTAGATCAACTTTTAATATTTTTGGCTGTCATCTAGTGCCAGACTCAGTGGTTTGTCTTGAGTCCTACATAAGATTGTTTGCAAGTCACAAGGCATGAACGAATGTTGGGTTAAAGTTCTACTGAACCGGCAGTAAAGGTATAACTGAATCATGTGTAGGTGACACTTGGCATATCAATGCTCCATTTGTGTCCCTGATTCTAAAGCTCTGGCATGCTACTTGAAACCACAGATTGTGTAAAGGTGAATGATGGCAACATCACAGTCCTCAGCGCGGTGCAGCTGTACCTGTGTGTTTATTTGCAGCTCTTCTCACATTCGATGTCAGCTGCAGACAACATAGAAAATTTAGTATATATTATAAATAGATGACTGGTATTTTAATGTTACTCATTTACTCAGCTTTTACTCCTCCCTCTCCTCTGAACTAATGATCAACGGTCTGTTATCTGATAGCTTGTCCTATGCAATCACAGGGTATCACCCATGTATGAACACTCTCCCCTCGGAGAAGAAAGCAGCCTGGAAAATTAGCATTTTCTGACAGCCATTACTCATCGGGTTAATCATGTCAAGGAATGTTTGGCTATCATTGCAGGCGAGGGGTCGCCATGGCCTGCATATTGGCTCTTATCAGGCAGGGTAAACACACTGGGCTTTGCATGAAATAAGTGTTACAGTCCGTGGGGGCGGAGCAGCCAATGTGTCGTCCCCCCCACACACCCTGCCAGTCTCCATGCTGATAATCCTTTTGAAAACCTGCACTGGTCAGACCCAGCTGTGGCCTGTGGCTCAGGTGTAGGTCAGCGGGGGAGGTGAGGGATTGTTCTGTCGCTGGTGTCGTTTACAACACAAGTCACTCAGGGTTTTGTCCACACTGATACATATATAATTGAAAAGGTTACTTGGTTACTTTTTCTGTCTAATCGGGCAGTTTTCAAAAGCTTTTACTCATGTTGCAGTTCTAAAACAAAGCATCTCTATTTACCTGAGGTGACTTTCCTGCCTGTAGTGTTTCCATCATTGCTGCTTGAATAACATTAAATAAACAGGCTAATTTGCATCATATTTTTAAAGTGAATGGGTATGCTTTAAAGTAATTTTCTCTTTTTTTTATCAGTTTAATCTCCAATAGATCAATGCAGCATTGCAGCAAAAAAACAAAACAAAAAAAAAACAAAAAAAAAACATACTGTTCTTTTTTTGTTTGTTTGTTTTAGAAAAGTTTAAAATTCAATATCGTTGAATATGGTAGAATATTTAGAAGTTGCTGTTGTTCGTGTTTAGTATTGCCAATAAAATGATCTGCTGATAGCTCCAGATCAGGTGATGGGAACATGCTTAATTAAACTTTGAGGGTGTAGTAAGATAGTGTGTTGTGTTTGTTGAAAATGTGCACAGAACAGGAGGGGCAAAAAAAAAACTTTTGTTTTTATCTGGCAACCCTGATGCTGATCATGCAGTGTCAGCATGATCACATACATCTGAACCTAGTGAATAAATTAACGTTCCTTCGTACCCAGGATTTTGCTCCTTCATGCTGCAAAGGGTGAGTAACACAAAAACACTCTGCTCTCTGCAGTTTATTGTAATTATTGTTAGATTAAACTAAGTTTATCTTAATAAGGAAGTTCAAACCAGGTGAAAAGTAGGATTCTGTGGAAATGTAACCCATCTCAATTTGAAGAAACAGTTTAATTCTGACCAGATTGATGAGCTAACAGCTAGGCTGTACCAATTAACTAGTCAGTTTAGTCGGAAATAAACTTGATCTTTCTGAACTGAGGTTGTTCAAAATAAAACACGTCACCTGAGAATGTGTCAGATTTTGCAACAGACTTTCTTACGTGCGTTTTTTTTTTTGTTTTTTTTGAGAATGTTGCAATCAGTGAGTCATGTTCGATTTTGTCATGTGGGTTTCTTTGTATTTTATGTAATAAAACAAATATCAGTATCAGGGGAAAAAGGGCAAAAGTCATTTATAGTGAAGTGGAAACATGAGATTTTTGTTACTAGACAAAAAATATCTCAAGCTGCAATGATGGATTTGTGAATAATTTTAATATTTTTGCTTCTATGACCCATTTACTTTCTGTATCGGGCATGTTCGTAATCAACTTTTGAAAAGGTGAAATGTAGATTTCCGTCTCGTGACGGCATTTTACTGTATTTTCCTTTTTGACACGGCTGCATGTGTGCATGACACGACACAACAATGCTGCTTGGAATGTTGCAGAGTAAAGACGGTGGCATTCTTTACAAGGCCACTAAACCTCCTGAACTGTATGTCCAGCTATAAGCAAACCGTGAGAAAAGTGTGTTGTTGTTGTGACATAGCTATCCTTTTATTATTTTTTTTTCTTTGTGTTTTGTTGCTATCAGCTGCATGAACCAAAGGTACCTCTCTGGGCAGCTTTCGAAGAAAAAAAAAAGTGCAACAGTGTTAACTCGGGGTGTACAAGGTGGGAAACCTTGAATAATGTGAAGTCAGAGGAGGAGGCAAGTCAACCAGTGGGTCAACAGGAGGTGAGGCTGCCTTCTTTTCTGGGTTCAGGAAAAGTTCAGCAGCATAGCATTAGGCAAATTAGGGAGACGGGGAAGGAAGGAAAAAAATCCAAGGGGTATAAGGACTGATGAGAATGTTGAGGGGGGGCTTTATTTATCTGCGAAGTGAGGAGGAACTTCCAGGGGTGAGGGTGGGGGAGCAGGGGGAGCGATGCATTCTGTGGCAGCTCTCATTATAACCATGAACTCCAGTGTAAAGATATGAAAGACTAATTAGTGAGCTTATATAACTTCATCGTGTCCTCTAATACTATTTAAAGCCCCCGCTGCTAAGTTTGAAGGAGGGCCTGTGTGTGGAGACGGGAGAGCTCCGTCCGTGAAAGGGTTAAACAGGGGGCGGAGCCAAGCCTGGCTGAGCGGGGAGGCAGCAGCAGGAGGAGGAGGGGGAGGAGCCAGAGCTCCTCAGCTGCTGCGCCTTGTCACATTTCTGCAGGATCTGATCGCAGCTCGGTCTGCTGTGGGAACGGTTCGGGGCTGCAGATCCTAACGAAGCGGGTGCTGCGCGGTTTGGGACGGACCTGGACGCGTGAGAGAGCTCGGTAAAAGTAGATGTTATAGAGAGACACAAAGAAACGAGACGGCGTTCAGGAGGAGTCCGGGCGCTAACGGGACCGTAACCCCACGAAGGACGAACTCTGCCAGCTCTAACCCCACCACCCCCCTCGGCGGCGGCAGCAGCAGCCTCACGGACGGACTCGGGGAATTTCTACCCTCTTTCTGGGATTCTTCTTTGTCGCGTGTTTAAACCCTCAGATGTGTGTCTGTGTCTGAGCATCCGGACAGATATATGTGTGTGTTTGTTCTGCTGGAAGCGCGCGCGGCTCCAGCCCCGGACACAATGCGCACCGCTCTTTTCATCCCCAAAACTGAGCGAAGACGATCCGGCTGATTTTTTATTTAATTTTATTTTTATCCACCTCTCTCTTTTTTCTTCTTCTGTTCTTCAACAAAGAGAGATGCCGAATGYCCACATGTCCCCGCAGGGTTTGGATTTATCACTACTTCTGTTTTGATGCCGTTCGGCCAGATCCTGCTGAAATCCACCAGGCTCCTCCGTGTGTTTTGATAGCGTTTTCTCCCCCCCTTCCCCCTCCACACCCTCCTCCTCCTCTCCTCCWCCCCCGCCGCGTATGATGTATGAGAGTGTGGACGTTGTGGGRCTGAATCCCAGCCCGAACCCGTTTCTAATGATGGATTATTACAACCAGAGCCGAGGGTGCTTGATCCCAGAGAAAGGACTGGTGCCCGGTGCGCCCCATCCCTACAGCACGTCCATCAGGAACCAGCACTGGAACGGATCCAATCACTGTATGTGCTTTGGTTTTTGTCCCCCTTCTTCATATCAAAGTGTTCGGATCCATGTGTGACCAAATTGGTCTTTTCATTCCATTTGATTCGTCCCTGACCTTTGTCACTGCAATATCTATTTTGACCCACTTTCCTGTCTTTCCAAATGCGCCTGTTTATTTTTTGTATCTCCAAGCCACTTTATTCTGCCTTCCTGAAATATGCTTCCAACACAATGTTTTTTTTTTTCCAAGCCGTGCCAGCACTAATCAGGTCAAACTTTTCTGCCAGTCTTATCCTCGGTGTCCCTGGTAATCTGGATCCGTTATAGACCACACAGTTCCTGAGCAGCAGCTCTGATTATTCCCTTCATGTTTAAATCAGTAATTATGATGATTAAAATGCATGTTTAAGGTGGTTTCTTACCTGAAATAGCCATGCATATTTAAATGATGAGCTCCATGTTTGTCATCTCTATAGATAGCTTTTCAGTTTTTAATGATGCTTTTATTTCAGGGAGTTCAGGTTTTATTTGTGTTAACGTGTGCATTTCTTTTTATTTGTGGGTAGAGCAGCCACCAGTGGCCATAGAGATTTTTGTTTGTTTGTTTTGTTGTTTTACTGATACCATATCTGCTGCAATAAGAGGATTTTATTGCAGCGACAGGGTATCAGAGGCCTGTCCCATTCTTCACCTCAAAGCAGCTGCATGGCACTAAGCTTAATGAAAGAGAGAGTTCTGTTGTCTTTCAGTTCTGCAGGAGCGTAAAGAGACAGGAATCTCCACAGGCTCTTAAGGGCCAATTTCCTCCTCGCTTCAAGACTATAGGAGCATGTGACAAAAGGGAAATTTAGACAGGAATGTCTGATGTTTGGCAGCAAGAACAAAACCTCCTCCTCCTCAAAAAAAAAAAAAAAAAGAGTTTTTGTTTGCATTGCAGTTTGCCTCCATCTCTCTTTCTGAGTCACTGCTTGTTTTTCTAAGTCAGATGAGATTAGAATTTCCTCCTGACTAAAGAGACAAATCATTTTTGAAGCAGATACCCAGGCGAGCTTGATAGTATTTATTGAGCCGGTCCACTAAACAGCTCTTGTGGCAGCATTGATTCAAACCATGTGAGCTCGTCTGAGGGAGACGGTGGGGGTTTGGCCCAGGAAAAGACCTCTGATCCCTCAATTCCACATTGTTTTGCTTCAAGTAGGGAGTTGCAGAGGTGGGGTGAGGTGTGTGTGAGGAAAGCATTCTGCTGTTTGCTTTAYTGCTTGGATGTAATAAAAAAAAATTAATGCACTTGTAAGGGATGTTGGTTGAGGAGGAGACACATCATCCATTACTGCAGTCATGTGGCTCCACAGCTTATTGGATCATATGGTGGAAAACTAAACAGATTATTTTTTAACATTCCATTTTAAAGCAAAATTAAAAAGAACAAGACAATTTGAAAACATCTGACTTGGTTTTCTCCCCTTATTTTCGTTGCTGGTACTTTTCCCCACCTTGCTTCTTCGTTCTATTATTTTTATGGYTTTCTGTCTTGTTAACCTTTCTACACTGGATCTGTCTGTTCATTAAGAGTTTTCCAGTGGGCTCCTTGAATTGAGAATGTATCAAGACATATTTGCTTTAGTAGTCTAAAGTTAGTGTCTAATTGGACTGCGAATGTTGGCAAAGAGTCGGCGTGTGGCAGTTGTGAGAGAGTCTCCAAAATGCCTCGATTTTTACAGGTGTTCTCAATTTCTTGAGCCACAAATCCTTCGCAGTCTTGTAGCTTGAACTTTGAACATGTTCAAAAAAGTTGGTGCACCAAATTTGGCTGTGTATTCTCAGTCTGGGGTGTATTGAACTCTTATCAAGAGTGGATTGTGGCTGCCAACATGTGTACAAAGTGGGTCGGTGTGGGTAGGTAGGCAACAAGATGACGTGCGCAGAGTGGAATACAGTTTTTCAAGTCGTGGACATGAAAATAGTTCAGTTTATTTAACAAGGACAATGTTTCATGKTAGAACAATTCTGCAGTTTCTGTCTACAGTAGTTGTGTTGCTAAAGGCTAATTGCAGACCTTGGCCTTGTTGGAGCTTTTAAAATAAATCAGCAATAAAACTAGGTATTTCACATATACACACATAACTTTGATATTATGGACAGGAGAAACAGCAGCGTGTCATGTAATAAAACAAAACAAAACACGGCCCTTTAGGCTTTTTTTTTTTTTAGGTGTGATGCTCTTTGTTTTTGTTACAGCCACTTGTCCAACTGGAAGTTCAAAATGCTTAGGTCATGATTTTAAAAAAAAAAATGCTTTCAAATTTGTGGCTGCATGGTTTATTGGTTGCTAGATCACAAACACTCAGAATTCTGTGAAATTGTAACTCAAAATTACCTTTATTTTCTCACGATTTTGTGTTGCTAACTAGTTTCCAACAATTGCAGCATAAGTGGCCTTCAGATCTCTGTATCATAGCTGTAATTTAGATCTCATGGACGCTTCAATCCCAGTTATTGCTTCATTAAATATGCTTCTTTATACGTTGTTGACATTTTGACTTTGACAACGTAGAGTTGCGGTTGCGTCCAGTCTGCACAAGTCTATTTTCAGAGCATCGGTTCTAAAGGTCTGCTGTGAAAAGGCCTGGGCCTTGCAGATTAAATGTACTTGATTTTTCACAGGCTGCCTGTCAGAATCCTAACAACAGTTGGGGGCTCATGCATGAAAGAATGTGCATGACCTTGTTCACATGACTGTCACACACTTTTAAAAAATGGGGGATGAGGGGGTGGGTGAATCAAAGAGGGATTGCATCAGGGGCTCAGCAGCCCATAGGGTTTTTGTTCATTTTTTTCCCCCCAACTCCCCTTCTCAGGCTGTCCACAGTATAAAGACAAACGATCATCGGGGATGTCCACAGAGAGAAGATGAAGCAGAGTCAGACAWGCTCGAGCTAGTTTGTCTTCTGAATGCAGAGGGATGTAAAGTGGGCTGCATGGACTGTGTTTCTGAGAGGCAGGCGACTGGCAGCTTAATCTGACTCATGTGGTATTTTAAATGCGGAAGTCCTTTGGCCGAGCAGGAGATGAGGCCCATGGAAAACAAAACAAAACAGATGGTGTTTTATTGTTTCTTTAGCTGAAAGGTCTGATGCTAAACATGTCACGACATCTTGGAGAGCAACAGAAGTGTCTCGAATACCATTTTCATAAAACAATAAGAACTGTTTGGAATGTGTTTGGGCTTGGTGCACTCCAGCAGTTTGGCTTTAGCCTTGTGTGAGAACTGTAAATATCACTTCCTCTGTATGGAGTATTTATTTGACAGAAGTCTTCTGAGAATTGAGAAAACATGAACAACACGACATAAACACAGTCCTTACCCCCTGAACAGAATTGACTTTGGTGGTCGGATTTTGACATCGCAGTGGGGTCTTTTGAAAACAGCTGGATGTGAGTCATTCAAAAATAAAGTTGCAAGTGTGTTTAATTTAGCAATTCCACTCAGAATTCCTTAGAAAAACCGACATATAAATAGATTTTTATTTTTACTTAGACAAAAAAATATTAGGGGTGTCCTGATCAGATGTCAATATCGGATATCGATTCGATATTAGCCAAAAAATGAATATCAGATTATATCGGCCTGCATCTAAAATCTATGATGTTAGCACTGTGATACAAGCAGTCAAGCATTCCAATAGTCCACTCAGAATTTCTATCCAGCAGTGCTTGGATCCAGCATGAATAACTTAAATGACCTTTAATAGTTATTTTACATTTTTAAATGTAAATTTTGTTTTTATTGGATTTATTGAGGCAATTTTTCAGGGTTTTCTATTTTATTACTTATTTATTTATAGAATATTATAT